TCATAAACGTGGTGATGGTGATGATGATGATGATGATGATGATGATGATGAAGACTGACCTCTGACATCATCACTGACTTCAGTCAAACTAACTACATGTGATGACTTTATAATCGATCCAAAGATTTGACCCCTGAATCCTAAAGGTCAAGTCAACGTTAGCTCCAAGTTCAGAGTTGATCTGAAACGATCATTCTTTTTGTTTTGTAAAGACCCTTACGTTGAGGAAGTACATGAAATTCTTTTTTTAAATTTAATTCCAGCCTCAGTGTGACTGAAGAATGAAGGTCAATGATCTGGTTCTTCTTCTTCTTCTTCTTCTTCTTCTTCTTCTTCTTCTTCAGTCGTGATGTCATCAATAACTCTGAAGATTATTGTCCGTATATCTGTTTAGTTTTATTCATGAAGCTCCTCCAAGGACGTGGGTGACAGGAGGACAGGAGGACAGGAGGACACTTCTGAACAGCGCTAAGATAAATACTCCTCGTCTCCTCGTCCCCTAGAGGACACTGGTGGTATCACTGCTCTGAATCCATGCAGCTTTTTAAACCTTTGTCTGATAAAGAGAAGTAAAACTGTAACAGTCAATAAGGGTGTGATTCCTGCAGGGAATTCTGGGTCTTCAATCTGAAAACAATTTGTCATGCAGCCTGAGGGGGCGCCGCAAAAAAACTGCAGACACAGACTCTGAATAACAGTCATGTGATGGAAGTGGAAAAACGATCAGTTCTGATTCACCAGGACCTGATCAATATCCAGGGAAACAAAAATCTGTTTCATAAATGTAGGAGCAGAAAATAGATGGTGTGTCTGTACTGAGTCACGCTGCGTCTCAGACATGAACCTGGTGAGAACTGTTTGAACTGCACCTTTAAATCCTCTAACAGTTTGGAGTTGGAGAGAAACTGCCTTCATTTTACAGCCCTGGTTTTTTTAAAGTCCGTCTTGGTTGAACGTTCATGGTTGAACGTTCTTGGTTGAACGTCCTCATGGTTGAACGTTCTTGGTTGAACGTCCTCATGGTTGAACGTCCTTGGTTGAACGTCCTCATGGTTGAACGTTCTTGGTTGAACGTCCTCATGGTTGAACGTCCTTGGTTGAACGTCCTCTTGGTTGAACGTCCTTGGTTGAACGTCCTCATGGTTGAACGTTCTTGGTTGAACGTCCTCATGGTTGAACGTCCTTGGTTGAACGTCCTCATGGTTGAACGTTCTCATGGTTCTGTTGTTCCTCCAGGTTTGGGCCAGTAACTTCCTGCCCACCGAGCCCGCTCTGTCCGACCGCCACCAGAGGGCGTTCTATCAGGAACATGGAGAACCTCTGCTGCTGCAGTACGTCAGGCAGGAGGTCCACAGACAGGTACAAGTACAAGTACACCAGTACACCGGTACAACAGTACAGCAGTACACCAGTACACCAGTACAACATTACACCAGTACACCAGTACACCAGTACACCAGTACACCAGTACACCAGTACACCAGTACACCAGTACACCAGTACAACATTACACCAGTACACCAGTACACCAGTACACCAGTACACCAGTACACCAGTACACCAGTACAACATTACACCAGTACACCAGTACACCAGTACACCAGTACAACATTACACCAGTACACCAGTACACCAGTACAACATTACACCAGTACACCAGTACACCAGTACAACAGTACAACGGTACACCAGTACAACAGTACAACAGTACAACAGTACACGAGTACAACAGGATGAGTTACAGTATGATGTGTCAGTACTTTAACTCTGAATACTACAGACTACTACTACAGACTACCACAGACTACTACAGACTACTACTATAGACTACTATAGACTACTACTACAGACTACTACTACAGACTCCTACAGACTACCACAGACTACTACTACAGACTACTACTACAGACTACTATAGACTGCTACATACTACTACTACAGACTACTACAGACTACTATAGACTGCTACATACTACTACTACAGACTACTACAGACTACCACAGACTACTACAGACTACTACAGACTACCACAGACTACTACAGACTACTACAGACCACTACTACAGACTACTATAGACTACTATAGACTACTACTACAGACTACTACAGACTACCACAGACTACTACTATAGACTACTATAGACTACTACTACAGACTACTATAGACTACTGTAGACTACTACAGACTACTGTAGACTACCACAGACTACTACAGACTACTATAGACTACTACA